CTGTCTCTGCACACTCCTGCTTCACTCTCTCACACTGTCTGCACACTCCTGCCTCACTCTCTCACACTGTCTGCACACTCCTGCCTCACTCTCTCACACTGTCTGCACACTCCTGCCTCACTCTCTCACACCGTCTGCACACTCCTGCCTCACTCTCTCACACCGTCTGCACACTCCTGCCTCACTCTCTCACACTGTCTCTGCCAGATGAATTAGTCTGGCCAAAGCAAATACAATTAACCCAACATTTACAGCCATTTACAGTACTGACATATTGTTGGACATTTATATTGCTGCCCAGCAGTCCAGAGAGGACAGGCTCAGTGACCACAGCCTGGACACAGACTGGACGCAGGCAGACCTGGAATCACTGTAATTCAAGAAAGCTCTTTGATTCTGTTCGGACACTTTACTGTGCATGAAAGGCACTGGAGCATCACGTGGTGCTTCAGGGCAGCACAGCTCACATGAGAACAGATCTGAAAGCTGTGGGAGACTAGTCTCTGCAGAGACGATGGAGGATGTCACAGACGAGACGGACCATGTTGCCTCTGGTTGCTGTTGGACACACCTGGTGATGCGGGTGTGTACCTGGAGATCACGGCCGAGTCTATCCCAGTGTGGGCTGGAACCGGGAGGGAGGGAGGCAGTGTGGACTCGGGGCAGAGCTGAGGAGCAGAGCCAGACGCAGGCCCGTTATGAGAGCTGAGGGGCTGGGGTCCAGGTGACGCTGCTGGGGGATCTGGGGTCTGCAATACTGGAACAGGGGGAGTCGTACGTGCTGTAGCCAGTATGTAGGAGGGGAAACAGAAAGCAATCTCAGAGCATTTCATAGTGAGAGAAATATCTGTTTCCCCTGCGTGGTTCTTCCTTGAATAATTGATGGTTTTGTATTTAAATCCCAAAGCACCTGCCTGTGATCGTGTTTCTCTCCTCAGGGTGCTGCCACATAGGGGACGTGGTGTTGGGGGGGCTTTGGCAGAAGTGGGGGGCCGGATCGCTGCACCCCCTCGATAATTCATGATTTTCTCACTTGGCACGTTCATGTGCAGGAGAGGCAGTGACACACACACCACAGTCAAGCCAAGCGCAATCGACTGACAGACACGCAGGACTGCTCCCAGTGTCTCCCAGTGCTGTACAGTCTGATGACAGAGTGTCTCCCAGTGCTGTACAGTCTGATGAC